GCGCCATAAAATAATAGATGTGCTGCGAGGGTGACCCCTTGCCATCAAACTGTACCAAGCTTATTTTGCTGAAGCTTCAGCGTGTTAAGCTGGTCCTGGAACTCGTCGAACCTCTTGTCACGGATACTACCGCTAGGCGACGTTCCCAGTGACGTCTTGGAAGAGTAATCAGATTGTTGATTACTGTTGTCTTCCATTTTAGTCACCGGGCGATGGGGAGGTACCCACTCCTTGTCCCTAGTTTGCCGAGGTAAGGGACGCTGGGTCCTTTTCTTCTTCTTCTTTTTGTTCAGCAGTTGCTCCATCATCTCTCTTAGAGAGTCGATGGTCGGGTGTTTGTCGGCCACTACCGTTCTTACCCGCTCGTAGTCGTCCACGTACTTCAAACACTGGTGTAGCGTGGATGGAACGATCCGGTTGCCATGAATCCACGGACGCCCCAGGAGTATGTTGTAGGAGGGTTCAGCATCGATAACGTAGCACGTCACCTCCGTCTTCATGTCGCCTATCTGACATTTCAGGCGGATTTTGCCGAGTGGCCGAGTCCCTGTGGCGTTGAAGCCGAAGATGGTAGTCGAGGTCGAGGCTAGGCGCTTCGACGGTATCCCCAAATGTTTGATTAGCTTCAGGGGCACGATGCTCAGTGCGGACCCCGGGTCAACCTGGATCCGATCCACTTTCGCCGAGCCGACGTATCCTGTGAAGTACAGCGGCCGGTCATGGGACGTGTTCTTGATGAGCATGTCCTCGGGGGTGAAAGTGATGCAGGGGATCTGTCTCTCTGAGACTTGGCAGCAAGTTGTACAGCCCTGTTCGATCTCCGTTTCTTTTGAGAAATGGGTCGAGAACGCCTCTGCGTCAGCCAACGCCTCTTGTAGGGCTTCCCGGGTAGGCCTAGATAACCGGAGGAGGTCGTATATGGTGATTCGCGCGGGTATGCTTTTCAATTGCGCGAGCACGTTGAACCGGTAAGGCTGGCGGCTTGAACTTGGCTCCTCTGGATTGGGAGGGACTGCTGCAGCCGGCCTCGCGGGAAGTCCTGCTGGGTTTTCCGCCCTCGCGGGATATTGCTTCGCAAACTCCTTTCCGGCTCTCGTGGCGAAGACGTTGGTGTCTTCTTCAGAGTCGGTTAAGGCAGTCATCGCCGCGTCGTCTGTATCCAGGATGGCGGTGACAACGTTGCAATATTTCCTCTTAGCCTCCTTGGAAGGCTGTGCGGTCCATTGCTCGTCGTCGAGGAGGTCCGGATGGACCCACATCACTTGCCCTGATGGCAGAGTTTGTGGAACCAAACCCTTCTCCCGCTGGTTGTGAGGATCGTCGTTAGTGATCTTCAAAACCGCCTTGGGGATAGGAATTATCCCCGCCGGAGCTTGAACCTCCGGGAGACCCGTCCCAAAGCTCAAAGTGACCATGTTCGCCGTCACTTGCTTTTGGACCTTCTCTTTCTTCAAGACCCCCGCGTCGTAGAGGGCCTGGAGTTTGTCCTTGAGGACGTAGCACTTGGTTGTGTGATGCCCAAGGAATCTGTGGTATGCACAGTAACTTGGGTCACCGGTTTTGTCCGCCTCCTCCGGTTTGGCGGCTTCTGGCAACTTAATTCGCCCACTTTTGAGTAGAGTGTCGAGAGTCGCCACTACCTGGTCTTCTTTGAAATCATATTGCCGCTGGGGGCGTGGTTCAAATTGCCTGGGTTTCGGCTTTTGAACGAACTTTGGCGCCGCGGCAGAGTCTACGGCCATAGCCTCTTTTCCCTTCGATCGAGGAGGGTTCTTTGGCGCCGCTGGTTCTGCTGCTCCCTTTTTGGGCTGTGGCTCTTCGGCCTCCAGCCTCTTGATCATATTTTCAACTTGCTCGCCTTGGCGAACAAGTTCCTTCCAAGTCCGGGTTTCAACTGCCCCTATTTTGGACAGGATGTGGATTGACAGATTGTTGCGGCACATCTCAATCAGTGTCGCCTCGGAAACTTGGTCCCGACAGTGGACTGATCGATTCCGAAATCTCTTCACGAAGTCATTGACCGACTCCGACTTCCGCTGCTTCTCAGCAAGGAGAGTGGCCATTGACACTTCCGTGTTGTCGTCGAAGAAGCGGGCGAGGAAGAGCTTTTCGACGTCGGCCCATGCCTTGATGGAGCCGGGTTCCAGTTTGCGGAACCATTCAAAGGCCACCCCCTTGAGGGTACCTATGAATAGTCGAGTGAGAATAGCGTCATTCCCCATAAGGAATCCGGTCTGCGCCATGAAGTAGTAGATGTGTTGTGAGGGCGACCCCTTGCCATCAAACTGTACCAAGCTGATGGGCTTGAACTTCGCTGGGTATGGGACCGTGTCCCATTCGATAGGGTAGGGACGTACCACCCCCAGCTTGTTCATATTTTATTGAAGCTTCAGCGCGTTGAGCTGGTCCTGGAACTCGTCGAACCTCTTGTCACGGATGCTACCGCTAGGCGACGTTCCCAGTGACGTCTTGGAAGAGTAATCAGATTGTTGATTACTGTTGTCTTCCATTTTAGTCACCGGGCGATGGGGAGGTACCCACTCCTTGTCCCTAGTTTGCCGAGGTAAGGGACGCTGGGTCCTTTTCTTCTTCTTCTTTTTGTTCAGCAGTTGCTCCATCATCTCTCTTAGAGAGTCGATGGTCACCTGCTGTTCCTCCAGCTTTTGAGCCATTGTCTGCTCGGGGTTGAGTTCGGTCATGTGCGCCCTTGCCAGCGCATATTGACTTGAGCGCGAGGTCTGAGATGTGGCCGCGGCCGAATGAATCTCATCTTCTCCGCAGGAGGGAGGTACCAGGGTGGAGTAATCAAACCTAATACTTGCCCCCCTGCGACTACGTGTTCGCTGGAATATGCCGTCCTGCCGGCGTTGAGCGAAACGAGTGTTAGGTCTCAGGACGGAGTCCGAGTCTGGCGAGTCGGAGAGTACTGCCTTCCCCTTGTCCATCATGTTAACTGTGGCGGATGCGAGCTCCAGGTCGTCGGCAGCGCGTCCTTTTTGGTGACGACGCCTTCGACGGGAGGGCCTTGGTCGAGAGGACTGTTGAGGAAGTCTCTCAAATACCAAAGGTTTCGCCGTTCCAACGCATTGGCAGTCAGCGAGGACCGTGTGGATGAGTCTTTCGCAGTGGCACTGAGGATTCGCCTCCTGTATAGTGCGTTTGCGAGTTAAGTATTCCCTGAGGTCTTCCGTGGGCGGTTGGTGACAACCCCCAGCCTCAGAAGAGTCGCTCGGGTGAGTGCACGAGAGATTTTTGGACGCGTTCTCTGGCGCACGCTGGGTGGAATGCTTTATTGCTGGTGTCAGGCGATCTCGCCTTGACTAGCGAGTCTTCGCGTTCGGGCGAACCCCAGTGCGTAGGCGGGTTTCAACCCTTCGTTTGGACGAGCGGGTTTGCAAGGTGTCGCCTATTTCCTCGCCCTTACGCTTATTCGCCAAATGGTTATGGCGAGGCTCGCCAGCCTTCGAGGATTCACCTACTCGGGTAGGCTCGTTCGCTCGGTGTGGTTTATTCGCATCAGGGATGTGACCTGAGAAGCGAAGTCCTCCTGAGTGGGTGGCTCTGCCTTCCTCGGTCGGCGCTCTTGATTTGGAGGGCCTTCCGACGTCGGGCAGTTTGCCTTCTCGTCTAGCGTTTCTCGGGCCCGTATGATGGTTCAGGCCATTGTGAGAAACGGAGGTTTGGACCTCCTGTCTGACGAGCGTTTGCCGTCGCTGTTGGCTAGCTCTCCCAGCGAGGAGAGCATCACCGCGGGCTGTGACAGTGCAGTTTGTGCCGGAGTGAATCGGCGTTTCCTCCGAGGCAGGTGTCTGCAGGGACCGCTTGGCGATTCATTTGGCAGACCCTTGTCTCTTGCCATCGATCTCCGGCTTGGCCTTGATCGATTGCGAGGGAGTGGGCTCCCCCGACGAGACTCGGGTGGAACCTTCAGGCGTGAAAGCTTTGACCGTTTGAGGTCGGCTTCGGCGCACGACTCTGTGGCGTTTGTGGGACGCATCGCCACCAGAGGATGAGGAAGACAAGTACTCTTCGTACTTGGCCTGGTCGAACTCAATCTCCAGGGACTCTACAGTCGTCCTGACAGCAACTTCATCAAATTGAGCCACCACCATTTCGTTCGATGAAACAGCTCCTCCCACTGTGGTCGCCATCTTCTGTAGGGTGTAAATTTGATTTCCCGAAAACAGGGAGTTTCGTTTGTATTGATAAGAAAGCTTATTACAAATTAATAATCAAATGATTACAACAGAAGCAGAGGGAATGCCCTCTTTGTTTTGTGTGGGGACTTTAGGTGGCTATAGGACGCTTCGCTCGATGCTCGTGTCGAGTCTGCTTCCCTTGGACCGTTCGATCGAGGTTGCAGGAGAGCTTCAGTACGCAGTAGAAGCTCCAGTCGATGGAGTTCAGGTCTGCTTAGTTCACCGGTGATTGGAGCTCAGAACTAGGCAGTGATGCTGTAATGCAAAGATGATGCGAACAACTTGGTCTCAACTGCTTTTTTTCGAGTTTTTCGATCCCTCCCTTAAAGTTTGTTGGAAGAGGCTTTTAAATGGAAGAAGGACAGCTTGACTGCTCCTTGAATTATGGGATGCGACCATACATTGTTCGGAGATATCCTGCTGCTCATTCGTACCACCAGCGGTCATTCGAAGAGCTGTGCTCTGCGTCACGTCACGTAGGAGTGGGAAAGCCCCTCCTCGTATGCGCGACAGCGGCTGTCAGATGCTTGCGTGGATCTGACCAACCACTGAACGTCGGCGGCTCTTGCTCATTGTTTGGACAACTGAGGTGAGTCACATTTATGAGAGTGCAGGCTGCTTTAGCATCTGTCCGCTCACTTGTACTGTGAGTGGCTGTTCGGCGGGCCTGGAGTGCCGTGCCTTCTCTCTTCAGGTCAAGAGAGGCGGGAAAGCATGTTCCTGGCACTCGAGTGGGTTTGGACAGCTCGCCGAACGCTGGCGGATTCGTCTTCTGACTCAGACAACCGAGGTGAGTTGCATTTATGAATGCTCAGGTCGACTCGACACCTGTCCAGTATCTCGTTCATCCTCGACTATCATGTTATGTAAAATAATGCAAGCCCTCATTATTTTACCTAAGACCTCAATGTCCCACATTCTAGCGGGCTGGCGAATAATAGCAAATCGTGCTTGGAGAACCCCAAATGCGCGTTCCACATCCTTCCTACATGATTCTTGTTGTTTGGCAAACAACTGCGCTTTGTTGCCTTGGGGCAATTGAATTGATTGGACAAAGACAGGCCATTTCGGATATATTCCATCTGCAAGATAGTAAGCACGATTGTATTGTCGCCCATTGACAATGAAATTCACCTCCGGGGCTTCACCGGACTCAATATCGTCAAATACCGGTGACCTATCTAGTACATTAATGTCGTTCAATGTACCTGGCAAACCAAAAAAAGCATGCCATATCCATAAATCAAAAGATGCCACTGCCTCAAGGATAACTGTTGCCGTCCCCTTGTGTCCACTAGTAAACTGCCCTTGCCAAGCCTTAGGACAATTCTTCCATTGCCAGTGCATGCAGTCGATACTTCCAATCATTCCGGGGAAACCACGCTCCTGACCAACTTGGAGTAACCTCTACATGTCTTCCACATTTGGACGTCTTAAGTATTCATCTTGAAACAAAGCAATTACCCCATCGCAAAAATTGCGAGTGCACTCAATTATGGTAGATTCTCCAATCTTCACATACTCATCACATGCATCTGCGGCGACTCCGTATGCAAGCATGCAGATGGCAGCTGTACACTTTTGGATAGGTGACAAGCCCAATTTTTTTGAATTATCACGCCTTAGAGTGAA